ACAAGAAAGGGAAACAAAAAGTGATTTACCTCTTCATTGACTTCCCAATCCAAGAAAGCAGGGTTCCTCACACTGTCAATAAGAACCTCAACCATTTCAGGTACATAGGTTTTAAGAGCATCAATAGTGTAACTCATCTGCTCCCTTGAAGCAGATGCGGAGGTGTTCCCTCCAATAGCTTCTATTTCCCTCACAAGACGTAGATGGCTCCTATTTGTCGTGCTCTTGAAAGCCATCCTTTCAAGCAAATGGGTTGCTCCATGGAAATAAGGAGCCTCATAGATAGAGCCACAATCAACATACAACCCAATCGAAGCTGCCGGATTCTAACCACAATAAAAGAAAAACACAAACATTAGTAACTTTGTTCATGCCATTTCTCGCATTTCACTAGATTTTTCAGAACAAAATCAAACATAAAATTTGGATAATAACATATTCTTCAGGCCATTTTTCGTATTTACATAGATTTTTCAGAACAAAAACAAACATAAACAACAAGCTTTACTTACTGGAGACATCTCCGAGGCGATCTTAAGACCATTTGGAAGAGTAGTGATCTTAAGTTTGCTCGGCTCAACACGATCAGCAAGCGGCGGAGGGAGAGATACTCCCTGTAGTGGCATATCCAATGAAGTAACCGAACCAGAGGATCCACCAGTCAACCAGCCGAAGAAACCTGGAGAAGAAGAGCTCGTAGCAACAGCACTAGAGCTTGCATAACGCGCAGGTCTCAAACCTCGGCTAAGAGATCCCTAACAAAAACAAGAATAAGACAAAGATCTCAATCAACAAGTCACATATTCACAAATCATGATCCACTGATTGAGGAAAATGTCATCTCTATCAATTGAAAATTGGATTGACTTCAGAGACTACGAATCGAAACCATTTAAAAGAAGAGATCACTGGTATAAGATCATCAATCAGTTGGAAAAATCGTTTTAATCGCATATTAACAATTCGTGATCCACTGATTGAGGCAACAGTCGGTTTTTCTCTTAATCAGAGATCATATTCGTAAACCTAACAAGTAATAACAGGTGCCGCTAATCAAATCGGAATCCAGATCTAGACGAAATCAGTTCCTAATCAAACGTTCCAGAAGCTAAAATCAATGATAAAGAACGATGAAAGGGATAGGAAGCGACCTTGAGAGCTCTGGCTCGGGAAGCTGCCGTGCGATACATGGCGAGTGTGGAAACTCTAAATCGGAGAAATGAGTATCGAGTCGACGAAAGAGATGAGTTTGAGAGAGACGGAGAATAATCGCAGTTTTACTTTCTTTCTTTTTTTTTCTTTTTTTCTTTTTTTCTTTTTTTCTTTTTTTCTTTTTTTCTTTTTAAATGTTTATGATTCTGCTAACGTGCTCTGCGATTGTTTAAGATAGGCCCAATCAAAGGGAAAATGGGCTTTTAAATCCCGAACTGTTTGCAATCGGCAAATTAAATACCGAACTATTACTCGCGCAGTTTAATGCTCCAACTATATGTTGACTCGGCAAATTAAAGACTGCGAAAGTCAGCCGTTAAGTTAATAAACCTTTGTCGTTAGTTTTAACTCCCTTTCTTAGCGACATAACCCAAAAACAAAAATCCCCNGGGAAAATGGGCTTTTAAATCCCGAACTGTTTGCAATCGGCAAATTAAATACCGAACTATTACTCGCGCAGTTTAATGCTCCAACTATATGTTGACTCGGCAAATTAAAGACTGCGAAAGTCAGCCGTTAAGTTAATAAACCTTTGTCGTTAGTTTTAACTCCCTTTCTTAGCGACATAACCCAAAAACAAAAATCCCCAAATCTGAAACCCTAATTTCGTGAGAAGGAGATTCCGGTGAGATTATGGTGAAGACCTTCTTCGGAAGACGAGGAAGTTGCAGGGATAAGATTCAGTTTCGAAGGGGAAGGTCGAGTCCTATAGTTCCCGATGTTTCCATTGTTACTAAAGAGCCCGAAAATCCAGAAGTGCCAAGAGTTCCTGAAGTTCAATCTGAAATTGAAAGGTAAATTTTATTCAACTTTGTTATAGATTTTATTGATTCTTCTTATTGATATATGGTCCCTTGGATTAGGACACGAGATATTGAGGATTCTGGTTTTGTTCGGAAAGAAACAGTAGAACAAGAAGTTGAAGAAGAAACAATGGAACTTGAGGTTGAAAAAGAAAACGTGGAACATGAGGTTGAGCCAGAAATTGTGGAACCTGAGGTTGAAAAAGAAACTGTAGAACCTGAGGTTGAAGAAGAAACCGTGGAACATGAAGCTGAAGAAGAAACAATGGAACCAAATAATGAAGAAGAAGCTATGGAGTCGGGTGATAATTCTTCTGTTGAGGGAGATGATTGTGAAGTCATTGTTGAAGATATGGCTGGATATAGGGAGTCTGAGCCAGTGCTGCAAGGTAATGATAATGAATATGTCGATGTACCAATTCACGAGGATGATCTTTTTAGAGAAGCTGGCTGTGAAGATGGAAATGAAAGCTACACGGGTAGTGATGACAGTGGTGATGATATTTGGAACGACGATCTTATTCCGGATCCATTATCAGATGATGATCACCAGGATGGAGAAGAAGAAGGCAGGGAATTTAACTGCCGCAGTGATGATATTTTAGCACTAGGAAAGACGTTTAATAATGCTGAGGAGTTTAAGTTTGCTGTTCTCAAGTATTCGCTCAAGACGCAGTATGACATAAAGTTCTATAAGTCCTCAGCTAATAGGCTTGGAGCTCGGTGCACACAACATGAAAAAGAAAAATGTGGCTGGAGAGTGTATTGTTCATTCGAGAAAGGCAGGAACAAGCTTATGGTGAAAGTGTATTTGAATACACATATTTGTGTTAGGTCCGGCTATACGAAGCTGCTAAAGAGTGGAACCATAGCACAACTATATGAGGAAAGACTTCGAATCAATCCTAAAATCAGGTCTAAGGAGATGGTTGCTGAGATAAAGAGAGAGTACAATATGATTGTGTCCGAGGAACAATGCAGAAGAGCGAAGGCAACTCTTGCAGCCAGAAGAAAGGCGGGTCATGAAATCCATTTTGGAAGACTTTGGGACTACCAGGCAGAGGTACTTAAATCTAATGTTGGATCAACAATGGAAATCGAGACAATTCCTGGTCCGGTTCCTGGAAGCAAGCAAAGATTTCACCGGTTATATATGTGTTTTGAAGCCTTGAAAACGTCTTGGAAGGAAGCATGTAGACCGATTATAGGATTGGACGCTGCATTTATGAAATGGGATATAAAAGGCCAAATGCTAGCTGCTGTTGGTAGAGATGGAGATAATAGAATTTTTCCAATAGCTTGGGCTGTGGTAGAAGTTGAGGATAATCCAAATTGGCTATGGTTTGTGCAACTGCTGAAAAAAGACTTGGGTCTTGAAGATGGCGAAACTATAACAATCATTTCAGACAAGCATTGGGTATGTTCATAATTTCTCTACATATATATATTAAAACTTCTATTTTGTACTGCTGATAAAGGATTCAAATTTTCATTTATACAGGGCATATTAAACGCAGTACATGAAGAGCTTCCTCAGGCCGAACATAGAATGTGTGCTCGACACGTTCTAGAAAACTGGAAGAAGACAAATAAAGACATTGTCCTTGAGCGTCTATTCTGGAAAATAGCACGAAGCTACACACCAGCAGCGTTTACAACCAACTTAGAGGTACTTAAGACCTACAATGAAGGAGCTTATGAGTCTCTGCAGTCTACTGAACCGAAGACATGGTCTCGTGCATTCTTCAAGCTTGGATCATGCTGCAATGACAACCTAAACAACCTATCAGAATCATTCAACAGAAGTGTTAGGGAGTCTAGAAGAAAGCCTCTTCTTGATATGTTGACGGATGTTAGGAGAAAGACTATGGTGAGAAACGCAAAAAGAACCATTTTGACCAACAGGTGGAAGAAACGGTTCACTCCAAGAGCAGATAAGGAGATTGAGCTTAACCGCCAAAAAGCAAAAGATTGCATTAGATATATGACCACTGGACAGACGCATGAGATTGAGTATCACACTGATGTATACAGCGTCAACATGGCTGAGAAAACATGTGGTTGTGGCTACTGGCAGTTGAATGGTCTGCCTTGTATGCATGCTATGTGTGTCATCACGAACACAAAATTAGAGCTTAATGATTATGTCTCTGATTTCTACTTGACATCAAAATGGCGCCAGCTATATGCAGAAGGTATGAAGCCAGTTCAAGGGATGCAAATGTGGCCAAGATTGGGTAGGCTCCCAATTCTTCCACCACCCTCACGCTTCAACCGTGGAAGACCAAATGATCATGCTAGAAAGAAAGCTCCTCATGAGTCTACTTCTAATCCACACAAGCTTACCCGCCATGGTCGAGTTTCTACTTGCTCAAACTGTAGGAAGGAAGGCCATAATAAGACTAGGTGTCCTAATCCAGCTGCAGCTCCTCCACCAAAACGTCCTAGAGGCCGTCCACGAAAAGAACAGGTTTACAATGGCTTACTGTTTTCATAGAATGGTTTATTTTTGTCTTATTCTCTAACATTTGATGCTTATTGAATGCAGGGAGAAGGAGCTTCTCAAGTATCATCGCAAGTTCCACCATCTCAATCATCACAAGGAGCATCAGAAGGAGCATCACAAGGGCGTTTTGGATTCTCTGCATAACCAAATGGAGTTGTGGTCTTGTTATTTTTTTTCTCTCACGGATGTGTGTGGATTGGTATTTTTTTGTAAACTCAAAAACAAATCTAAAGTTGGTTAAGTCTTTGTCTTTGGTGATCTAGGATATGTATGGATTAATGACTCAAGTTTATGAACGATTTTTTTAACTTTTGTAAAATTAACAAGTACCAATAACATTATGCTCAACTAATATTACTCTGAAACTTGTTTAGCCACACATAAATTGTCTTACAAAAGCTTGTTTAAAAGACATAATTTGTCTTACAACCAAATACATAACTTATCTTACATTTTCATACATATTTTCTTACTTTCTCCTACATTTTATTCTTACCAAACACAAGTGAACTTTCACCTTGGTCAAACATCTTTTCGCAGAAGACAACAAGGGCCACAATACACAAACCACCAAAAAGTACAATGGTCATTTTTTTGATTTTTTTCATCTCGTTTCTGCATCCCTGGAGTTCTTCTTTCAAGTTCTCAATCTGAAGTTTCAGGTCATTAATTAAAAACATCCCTTCAACCTTCAGCTCATTCACTTCTTCATATGTTCCATCTTCAACCCACTTGAACAAGTGACCATCCTGATACACACATGAAAGACAAAGATTAAAAAAGTTATCAATGGCTAACACATGAGAATAAGTGTTCTAGTAAATCTTACCGCTCGGGAATAAGTACATCGAAAATAAGGACGTCCTGGATTAGCTGTGGACTTTGATGTAAAGATCTTAACCGAACTTCCACAAACACATTTTTTTGGATATCCCGTTTCTCCATACACAATGCCACAACTATATGAATCACTCATACATTCTGGACCTAACTCCTCCTAAAGACATAGCCACCAAAGTAAAGTTCGAAATCAATCTTCTACAAACATATTTCAATTTCACCAGACACTTGATTCTGCAAAATAGTGAAAAGAACATATGACTACCGATTTTGATTCAGAAGAAAGCTGAGCCGTATCTCGACAAATCTTCTTGTTCTTCCCGAAGTTCTTCATCACGTCGTTGGATTTGCTCTTCTATCTCGTCAAAAATCACTTCTATTGTCGCCGGAATCGCGGAATTAGGGTTTCAAATTAGGGATTTTGAGCTATGTCGTAAGAGAATGGGGGAAGAGTATTAAAACTAACGACAAACGTTATTAACTTAACGGCTGACTTTCGCAGTCTTTAATTTGCCGAGTCAACATATAGTTGGGGCATTAAACTGCGCGAGTAATAGTTCGGTATTTAATTTGCCGATTGCAACTAGTTCAGGATTTAAAAACCCATTTTCCCCNGGGATTTTGAGCTATGTCGTAAGAGAATGGGGGAAGAGTATTAAAACTAACGACAAACGTTATTAACTTAACGGCTGACTTTCGCAGTCTTTAATTTGCCGAGTCAACATATAGTTGGGGCATTAAACTGCGCGAGTAATAGTTCGGTATTTAATTTGCCGATTGCAACTAGTTCAGGATTTAAAAACCCATTTTCCCCCCAATCAAATGTAATATATCTGACCTAGTCTTAAAGCATGAGCCTGAACATCTACATGGACTTGATCCATTCAATATAAAAACACATCCTTTCTTTCTTTCTTCAACATTATATGTAATACCTAGAGTACCTATGTAATTAGTAGTATAAATACTATATTCTTATCATCTAAGCCTTCATTTCTATATGATGTCAGAGCAAAAATACCTAGGGATGTAAGAAAATTTTCTTCCTAGCCGCCGACCCTATCTTTCAAAAACTTTATCTTCTTCGATCTCCATGTCGACTTCCACGGCTTCTTCTCATGAGACCATTACGGTTTCCGAAACAACTCATCTTCTCAACATCAACATGACTAATGTCACGAAGCTTACGGCATCCAACTTCTTCATGTGGAGCCGACAAGTCCTCGCCTTGCTCGACAGTTATGATCTCACAGGCCACATCGATGGGTCTGGTGTGATACCGTCCCAAATCCGGCGTATTCTCTTTGGAAACGTCAAGACCGTCTCATTTATGGTGCCTTACTTGGTGCTATCACTGTCTCGATCCAACCGATTCTCTCCACCGCAGAAACCTCTGCGCAAATCTAGGATACTTTGACTGCGACTTATGCGAAACCGAGCCGTGGTCATATCCAGCAGCAAATCAAAACTTGGACGAAAGGCACAAAGACTATTGATCCTTACGTTCAAGGTTTTACAATACGGTTTGATCGAGTAGCATTATTGGGAAAACTGTATGATCTCAAAGATCAGATCGAGCATATAGTTGAAGGTTTATCCAGGAGTATAAATCTGTTGTTGATCAGATTGAGGGTCGTGATTCTATACCTCTGTGGGAAACAGTGTATATTTATATGGGCTTGACTCATTCAATACAAAAACATCCTCTCTTTCTTTCTTGAACATGCTAAATGGTACATACCAATATCTCCACCAGGATTCAATTTATTATTTAAGTAACTTAATTAATTTTCTAAAATCCTCTAGGCTAGAAATGCATTTTTATAAATTTGATTAACATATTTAGTCTTTTACAAATCCTAAATACCTAAAATCGACAAGGAACGCTATGAATCCAAAATTACAAGTATCTATTTTCTATCTATATTATTAAAATTTAAGCATAGAACTAACCTTCTTTTCAACAAATTTATTACATATTTTCTTTCCTTATTTCACTCATCTTAATTACGTTAATAACTTGACATCAAATATTATAAAAGTAAAACACATAACTTACCTACTTTTAAATATTTTATTATCTCTTTTATATTTTCATTCTTTCAAACTACTTAATTAATTGTATTTAGAATAAGGGGGTGTTAGTGGTAATTGAATTTATAAGGATTATTAGAATTTTCAAGTTTGGTGTTATTGGTGTATTGATTCTTACATTCTCATTAAAGTTTAGTGTTATTGGTCTGATAATTTTATAATTCCATAACAAATCCCTTGTTATTCAAAAAGTTTAGATTTTAATGATTTTATAAGGTAATTAAAGTAAGTGTTATTGGAAGTTATATTCTTAACATTTTAACTCACAAAACAAGATTTTGAGAATACTACATATGTCCATTGAATTCTTAAAATCATCATAAATAATTTATTTTCATAAATTTTCACAATATACAAAATTCTCTACAACTCTTTCCAAATTTATCAAATCTCTCAACTCTTAAAATCAACAAATTCTATAGAAATCTAAGTCTCACTAACACCCCCTAATAATCAGATGTCATTTATTTTACGTAATTTTACATGTTTGAATGAAATTATTCCGTTAGTATAAAATTCAAACCGGTTAATAAAAAATTATTTTTTGTTTGCATAATCAGTTAAACATAACCCTTTAGGTATATGTTGGGATACAAATCGGTTTTAAGAGTATCGATTTTTTTTTGTTTTTAAAATTAATCTTTGTTAGGATTCAATTCGTATTCTTCTGGGTCCGAGTATATTTGTAAAAACCTAAAAGAAATATCTAAATAATCTATATATATATATATATATATTTGAAATGTTATGTAAAAATTTATAAAAAAGTAAAAACTAATCCGCGTAGGCACGCGGATCAAGCTCTAGTTTTAATTATAGACCCAAATCGACCCAGACCCGAGAGGGACCGATATGTATCCGAACCAAATATTCTTAAATACCTATTAGATCCAAGTTTCTAGGACCCAAAAGACCAGGATCCAAAAGAAACCAACATGATTCCGATCCGAAGACCCAAATGCCCATGCCTTAGCTCGAGATACACCAAATAACCTCTAGTGGCTATTTATACGATGACCACTACATACGTCTAAACGAAGCATATACAAATCTTTGTACATAAAATATGAATATAAATATGAATATATACTAATTTTAGAATACTGAACTTAAATTTACTTCAAATATAAAATATAATTTAACATATAAATAGTTGCAAAGATAAAAAATTTAAAATATTTTAAATATACACATAGAAATTATTTTACAAGCAATTAAACTAATAGCTATAATCATATACATACATAAACTAAGGAAAAATTATTATAGAGAAATATCCTAGAAAAATCCTAAAATTATTTTAGCATAAAATTGCTCATAAAAGTAAAAATGAACAAAATAATATTTATTAGAGAGGTAAAATATTTATACCAAAGGTTGACCAATATATATTTAGAGTTTAGATTTGAGGTGAGTGTGAGATTTAGGGTTTAAGGATTAGTGCTTTGAATTTAAGATTTAGGGTATAAAATTTGAATTAACAATTAAAAATGAATATTTTTGAAAATAAAATCCAATTTTATGTTGAACTTTATATTTCTTTAAATATTTTTTCAATAGAAAAATATTTAAATATTTTTTCAATATTTATTTAATTTCATATATCTATATAATAAGAGTATACTTGTTATTTACCTCTTTAATGATATATACTTTGGTTATTTTGACTCTTCTGAGCTATTTTGTGCTAACAAATTATTTAACAATGTTTGTAACATTTACGAAGATAATTAACAAAATAATTTAAATTTAATTATATGATCAAACACAATTGAATTCGATTGAAGTCAATGGAATCCGGTCGAAACATATTGACCCAAAACATTTCCGGTTTAGTTACATGTCTAGTTTTCAAGAAAATGGGTTTAACTTTTGATCATAAATTTTAAATTTTAAATTATACTTCTATAACTATGATAAAGCTTTAAAATATTTGAAGACATTATTTATCCTCTAATTTTTAAATATGTCTTATATATTATTTGCAAAGTAGTTTTGACATGTGTCATCACCACAATCAATTTCACCAAAAAAATAATGAAATATCCACTAATAATGATGACATGGCTTAGAATTAATTGTGACATGTATATTAACATTTAATGTTGATAGATATTTTGGTATGACTTTATAATATGGTAATAACTCATAAATTATCATTAACATAACAATAAATAATATAATAGTATAAACATAAATATAACAATATTTAAAAATTTGAAATATTTTTAAGTCTATTTTTATAATTATATAATTTTTATGAATAATATTTTTGCAAAATTTTATCCAGGTTTTTATAAAAATTATAATTTTCTAATCCCAATATCGTTAGTTTTATTTATAACATCTATAAATTTCAGAAATATATTTAATTTTATAATTTGATAATTATATACCTAACAAAATTTTCTCTTAATTTTATAGAATCTGATTTAATATACTTTAACCAAAAGAAAGAAAAATTAAAAAATCTTTCCATAATTTTAATTTTAAATATATACATATATAATATTAAATATAAATTTAAATAATTTTTTTTATTTTATCTTAATTTTTACATATAATTAAGGTAAATTAATAATGTAACAAAATAATAAACTTAAAAATTAACTAAATTTTATTTTTAAATATAATTTTATTTTTAAAACTTGTATTTCTGCACATGATGTAGGAAAACACCTAGTTTAAATAATTTTTTTTTGTTTAGTATAGGTCAAAAGTTTCCTTAAAACCTGAAACTTAAACTCAACTAAGACATATACATAAATTCAAATATAAATTATGTACCAAATATATCATTTTTATAATGTAAAATTTATGTCAGTAAGACCTTGCTTAAAAAAAACAAAGATAGAAATCTAGTTATCCAATAAAACTGATACGTTTAAGAATTTTTTACATGGAGAGCCACTTCTCACTTGAGACATACTTTTGTGCTGTGCTCTGTCTATTTTGTCCTTATTAGGTCAATTTCTAGTCTCTAGTTAGAGATCTGTTTGACTTTCCCTTTTCCTCTTCCTTTCACTTTCCCTTTCTCCCCTTCGATGGCCACATACTGCAACAAGGCTTACATCTTTGAAATCAGCCTTACCGTCATATCTCTCATACAAAAAAAATAAGAAATAGATAAATAAAAGAGAAAGGTATTTGTTTAAAAATAAAAAAGGTAAAGAGAGAGAGAGAGAGAGGACGCATACCAGAGGAAAGGAGAGATGGAGAGAGCTGTGGTCGTTTGTCGAG